CAGTGTCCCAGCTTCCTGCTGCTCCCATTCCCTGCAGGAAGCCTCCAGGAAGGGTTCACAGGGGAAGCCTCCAGGGAAGTGTGTCCTGGGGAACAAAAATCGCAGCACTCAGGGAGCCATCTTTGGTTCCTGGTTTCCCACACACTGAGAGAGCCCCTGCACTCATAGAGCCTCGAGGCTTTCTCCTCCCCTCCTCCCCCACAGCCAGTGCTGCCTTTCCAGGCTTGCGGGGGCCATACAGTTGTAGCACCAGTGCTGGCTCCCTGCTGTGGGGGGAGCAAGGGGGGCAGAGTTGGGGCTCCAGAAGAAACATATCAGACTCCCTAATGAACCATATTTGGCTCACGAGTCATAGGTTGCGACCCCTGTCTTATCCTAACTGAAAGCAAGGTCAGGGTTAGGTTGTGCCAGGACAATGGATGCACCTGGAATGGGATTGCTTCTGAGAAAGCCATACAGAAAAGAAACAGAATCACCAGGCAGGTGGAAAGGACTGGAGGGGGATATGCCCTCCCCCAGTTCGGGACTGCCCTAGCCACAAAATTCTTAACCCCCTGGAGGCCTTTAGAGAGGGTGGGGGGATTGAAGCCCCCCTCCAATTCATACAGGAACATTGCTGGCTGTTCCCCCTTCATCTGGGAGCGAGGGGAAAGTGCACAGTTTGCTGCATTCCTCACTTTGGCTGGGGAGTGCATAAGGCAGACAAAACTGCCCCAGCTGGGGTACATGCACTCTCCTGGTCTATCCTGGCTGTGTTCTCTGGAACTGCAGCAGCCATGGAGAGACGCTTCTCACCAGGCCCCAAGCTGCTGCGATGAGAGAGGGCCGGGGTTGTCCTTTCTCCCCAAGGCAGCCTATGTCCTGAACCCGTCCTCCCCACTCCCACCCCAGAACAATGATTTAAATGAAGCCTGGACATTTTCATTTAATTTTCCAAAAACCAAACCTTAAGTGAGTGGAGGACCCCAGCCCTCCGGGTAAATCTTCTAGTGATATTATACTAACCATGGTACATTGTTTTTCAACCTTTCTGCATCTGGAGTGTGAATTCATTGTTCCATTTACTATATATACACTAGCGGCGAGGAGTCCTGTGGCACCTTATAGATTAACCAAAGTGTTGGAGCATAAGCTGCAATTGTGTGTCCAGGGAGTCTGAAGTGTTCCCCTATAGGTTTTTATATATTGCCATTCCTAATATCTGATTTGTATCCATTTATTCTTTTACATAAGGACTGTCCAGTTTGGCTGATGTATATAGCAGAGGGGCATTGTTGGCACATGATGGCATATGTTACGTTAGTAGATGTGCAGGAGAATGAACCAGTGACAGAATGGCTGATCTTGTTAGGTCCTGTGATGATGTTGCTGGTGTAAATATGTGGGCAGAGTTGGCACTGAGGTTTGTTGCATGGATTGGTTCCTGAGTTAGTTATTATGGTGCACTGTATAGTTGCTGGTGAGAATATGCTTCAGGATGGCGGGTTGTCTGTGGGCGAGGACTGGCCTGCCTCCCAAAGCCTGTGAAAATGAGGGATCATTGTCCAGGATGGGTTGTAGATCACTAATGATAATAATTGGACACACAATTGCAGATCTAAAGGTAGCCATCCTGCAGCAAAAAACCGTCAAAACCAGACTTCAAAGAGAAACTACTGAGCTACAGTTCATCTTCAAGCTTGACACAATCAAGTCAGGATTAAACAAAGACTGTGAATGGCTAGTTAATTACAAAAGCAGCTTCTCCTCTCTGGCTGTGTCTACATTGGCCACTTATTCCGGAAAATCAGCCGCTTTTCCGGAATAACTTGCCACCTGTCTACACTGGCCCCTTGAATTTCCGGAAAATCTACTGTAAAATCATCAGTGCTTTTCCAGAAAAACTATGCTGCTCCCATTCGGGCAAAAGTCCTTTTCCGGAAAACTGTTCCGGAAAAGGGTCAGTGTAGACAGCACAGATTTCTTTTCCGCAAAAAAGCCCCGATTGCGAAAATGACGATCGGGGCTTCTTTGTGGAAAAGCACATCTACATTGGCACAGACGCTTTTCCGGAAAAGCATCCTGCCAATGTAGATGCGCTTTTTCCGGAAATACTTATCACGGAAAACTGTTCCGTTTTAAGCATTTCCGGAAAAGGATGCCAGTGTAGATGTAGCCTCTGGGTATTCACACCTCCAGATCAGCTACTAGAAGTGGGCCTCATCCTCCCTGATTGGATCCTCCTCGTCATCTCTAGCCTGATTCTGGCCTGCATATTTATACCTGCCTCTGGAAATTTCCACTACATGCATCTGTTGAAGTGGGTCTTTGCCCATGAAAGCTTATGCTCCAACACTTCGGTTGGTCTATAAGGTGCCACAGGACTCCTCGCCGCTTTTGCAGATTCAGACTAACACGGCTACCCCTCTGATATATATACACTAGAAGACTTACGTGCCTCCTGCCAGAGCTCCCTAGGCCTGGAAGGCAGGGCCCTGCTTGGAGCTGGGGGAAAAGGGGCACAACCCAGAGCTTGGGGGAGGGGCAGCTCAGGGGGGGAAGGCCGCACAGGCCTCTAATCAGCACTCCCCAGGCCTGGCCTGGGGACGGAAGGGAGGCGGCTGTGCAGGCCTGCTAGTCACAGATGCACTGGGGTGGCCCAGCGGTCCTTGTGGGGGAGGGAGGTCAGGCTATGGCCTCTGTGGTGGGGGCCGGGGCAGCAGTGCCTGGCCCCAGCCGTGCTCCTGGTGGGGGCTGCGGCGGTGGGGACAGTGGGGTTTCCCCTCCCCCAATCTGGTGCTGCAGCTGGAAGTGGAGGCCACTTACCTGGGCCAGGAGCAAGCAAGATGGCAAGCTCCACCCCCAGCTGGCAACTCTTTTGGTGGCGTGGCTACCCCTAGTGGTCACCCGGCAGTATAGCTATCCCCTGAGCTTGCTGCCCCCCGCCGTGATTGTGAGTATAGCATCCCTCCACTCAGCCCCCTTCCTTTCCATGTCAGATCATAGAACAGGAAGGGAGTTCGAGAGATCATCAAGTCCAGTCCCCTGCCCTCACGGCAGGACCAAGCACCATCTTGACCATTCCTGATAGATGTCCATCCAACCTGCTCTTAAAAATCTTGGGTGGAGATTCCAAAACCTCCCTGGGCAGTTTATTCCAGTGTTTGACCACCCTGACAGTTAGGAACTTTTTCCTAATTTCCAACCTAAACCTCCCTTGCTGCAGTTTAAGCCCATTGCTTCTTGTCCTATCCTCAGAGGCCAAGGAGAACAATTTTTCTCCCACCTCCTTGTAATACTCTTCTAGATACTTGAAAACCATTATCATGGCCCCTCTCAGTCTTCTCTTTTCCAAACTAAACAAGCCCAGTTCTTTCAGTCTTCCCTCATAGCTCATGCTTTCTAGACCATTTCTAGACCTCATAGCTCATGTTTTCTAGATCATTTTGTTGCTCTTCTCTGGACTTTTTTTTTTCCAGTTTGTCCACATCTCCCCGGAAATGTGGTGCCAGAACTGGACACAATACTCCAGTTGAGGCCTGATCAGCACAGAGTGAAATGCTGGAATTTTTCAGCAGAATTGG